CCCCGCCCCTTCACAGCCCAGCACTCCCCCAGGCTCCCCACAGACCCACCCCTCAGGACCTGCCTCCCAGCCGCAGTCACCGGCCCTGCTGGGAGGCGACTGTGTCTGCCGCGCTGAGCCGGCAGCACAGCCAGGGCTGGGGCCAGGAATCACTCCAGCCCCTTGGGAGTGTCACGGTCAGGCAGGCCAGAGCCTGCCCTGGCCAGGCTCCCTCAAGACGCATTTGCCTGGAGGGGCCCAGCCAAGCCCCCCAAATTTTTCCCCCCCATCCCCAGCTGAGACTGGCCAGGCTTCTGCACCAGTCCCAGGCGGCTCAGCTCCAGGGAGACAGGTGGGGCCCCACAGGTGGTGGGAAGCAGAGACTGCCCGGAGCCGGAGGTGCACTGGGTTCTGGCCAGGGGGCTGAGAGGAGCAGGGGGTGGGGTCAGGGGGCGGAGAGGAGCCCTCGGCCAGCTTGCGGGCAGACCGAAAGGAACAAGTGGTGGGCGAGGGGAGCCAGCGGGGTCTCGGGGCGCAGTGCAAGCGGAGCAGGCCTGGGCCCCTTCTGAGCATGGGCCTGGCTCCATGGAGCCACTGGAGCCATTGTAAACCTGGCACTGCCCGCCACTTCCCACAAGGCAGCTGGAGGCACCCAGACTGACCGTGCCATGACAGGATTTCTGGGGCTCGGGCTGGCAGGATAGCAGACGCTAGATGTGTTAGGCAAGATGCCACCTAGTGGTCAGTTGGTCGACCACACTCCTTAATGGTCACTCGGTCAACCCGTTTTGCTCAAGTGAGGCCCACTGAGTCTCAAGTCTCCAAAATGGTGGTACTAAAAATCCAGGCCCCATCTTGGTGGGAAGTGCCGCCTGGGGATAAAGTGAGAGAAAGGCTCAGTCATCGTCTTCTCCCCCCGACCCACCCCTGCTGCCTCCTGGAGTGCAGGGCGTGTGCAGTGGCACTGATCCGCCATGCAGATGTAGATCGGGCACGTGGCTGGGGGCTAAAGCTCTGTCTCTCCCACAGGTGGTGAGGGGGAGCGAGAGCAGGAGTCTGGAGAAGGTAATGTATTTGTCCTCTCCATGTGCCCCACAGGGAGTTGGGCTGGAGGGAAGGAACAAGCACCCATTCACATGCACCCATCCCTTCCTGGCGGGAGGGGACAGCAAACCCTCCTGACCACCCAGCTGCCCTCTTCCCTGCCCCATGATGAGAGTGAGCACCCATCACTAGACAGCAGCAGGACCAGCGGGCATGGGGAGGTGGGGCACAGGGTGCCACATCCATTCAGGTGGCTTCACTTTGGTAGGCTGTGGGGCTGAATAGGGGGGTGAGCTTTGGACCAAATGCCCTGTACCTGGCACCCACATGCCAGCCAGGAAAGCTGCTACGTTCCCTGCTGGTGCAGGCACGCCGCTGGCTTGCTGTGGCTGAGGTGGGCATGTACAGTGGGGACACTGCCCAAGTCTGCACTGACAGTTTGGGCAGCCTCTTGAGGTAATGCATCCCCTGTACCCAGCCGCTAGGAGGACCTCTGCCTGCCTGCATGAGGTGGGGAGCCTTCAGGGAGCCACGTTATGAATGTCTGAAGCAGCTGCAGGTTGTGGGGCATGTACCTCGGTGTCAGGGCAAAAACAAGGCCTACCCTATGCAATGGAGTTCTCAGCTGGCTAGCGCTGGCTAGGCAGGCAATAGGGAAGGAGACTGGGCCCATTGCTGAGAGCTGAAATACTCTTTAAGTGGATGGGGGAGGGGTTGAAATCTGGCTAGATGTGACAGCCTGGGCCCATCTCTAGCCCTAGCTAACAGCCTGGTTCCTCCATACATGACTCCAGGCTCTAGGTTTACCCGCAGCATGGCATGGGGCAAAGGGGGTCTGGGGGCACCTGGCCCATCACTGATATTTACACTGAAGTGGAAAGTGCCATTAACTCTGTGTTTCTCTTTGGTTCCCACGGACCCGCAGGGGAGTCCAAGCCAAAGCCCAAGTAAGTGGAAATGCATTTCATGTAGGGGGATGGGAAGTTTGGATCGTGTGTGTGTGCAGACTCGTTCTGCCGTATGGCAGAGCAGGGGCTGTACACAGTGCAGTAAATACAGTATTGGCCCGAGCAAAGGGAAGGGGTGGGGTAGCGGCTAAAGAGCCCCAGAACAGGAGAAGGGAAGCGAAATAGGGAGAGGGTGGGGGAGAAGAGAGAGAAAGGAGGAAAGCAAGCGGAGGAAGGGACGAAGGAGAACAAAGGGAGAGAGAGGTGGAGCAGGGAGAGGGTGATCATAGCTGGTGCATCTGGAATAGCTTGTGCATTCAGTGGCACAATCAGAACCTCACACTCTGGCGTCTATAGGAGCCTAGCGGCGCATTCTCCAGTGCAGCCAGAGCTCCCTGTACATTTCTTGAAGCGACCTTCTTGGGAGTGATCCGAGCATCCCCTGAGAGAGAACTACCTGCCCAGGTGGAGGAATCTCCTGCAGATGAATGGGAACGTTCCCATGAATCCCTGGGAGCCCCAATTCCCTATTAGATGGACAGAGCAAGGGAGCACCAAGTGCTCTAGGCCCCTGGGAAGGATACACCCTTCTAAACCTTCTCTTCTCTCCTCTCTCCCTACTCCTCAGTTCCACCCTTCCTAGTGTCACCAGGTAGGCTCTGCTTTCTAAGCCCAGGCAGTAATGCTGCTGTGTAACAATGGGTTGGGCACTTAATTGGTCTGGATGGACACACACGTTGCTTTTACTGACAGTTTCAAGGAAGAGCTGGACTAGCCACGTCCTCGTCTCAATGAGGTTCAAAGGAACAAAAGGGGTTTGGAGGGAAGCATCAGAAATACCAGTCAGCGAGCTCAATCCATGGTCCTCTCTCCGGCTGAGCAGGGCTCTTAAGAAGAGTGATGAGCCTGAAGCAAAACTTTTTCAAATGTGAAGCTGGATTGAGAATCAAAATCTGCATCCCAGGCTCACTGCTACCTTCAGAAAGCCCTCAGTATTCAAATCCTGGCACCTTGATGTCTGAGGCAGCATGGGCCGGCAGACAGGTGACTGGATGCCTGGGTCCTATATTTAATCTGGCCACTGATTTAGTGTGGACAAATCCCTGCCCAACCCCGTGCCTCCATTTCCCCACCTGTAGGATGGGGCTGATGATACTGCCTCTCCTTTGAGATCTGTGGGTGGTAACTTGTTAGCAGGGCATTTACATCTGGATACTCCAATAAGCACTTTGGCCCAGATCCTCCAAGGTATTCAGGTGCTTAACGCTCATTGATTTCAGAAATCATGGCAATGTACCGTCTATTGTGTATGATGGGGCACCCCGATACTGCATTCAATGGTGCTATTAAGGTTCCCATATTTGAAACTCAGGCCCAGAAGTGTCTGCCCCAGAGCTGCTGGACGACTCACTTCCCCAAAACCTACTGTTGTTCTTTTTGATGAAAATGACCTCATAAAGCCTGTCAAAGGAAAAGCACCTGCTAGGTACTCGTCAGCAGCTTGGGGTGGGCTGCAGCATCGCTCACTTCTGGTTCCTTGCTTGAAAGTGTGTCCATTTTCTAAACCTTTGGGGTGCTTTCCTGGTGCAGGTGGCTAGGGGACTTGTCTGGTAGTTGCCACTGCAAACACTAGACTGCAGATGGGGTGAAATGCATCCCATGCCGAGGGCCAGCAGGAGACCTAGGAACTGCTTGAGACCAGGACTTACATAAGATTGGAGTGGTGCTTTGTGCTTGTGAATTTCATCCATCGTGGGCTGTCACTCTACACTCTGCCTGTTTATCACAAACACTGGGGGACTAGACAGCCCTGGGGGCTAGCAATGGGACTCCAAGCCGGTCATGTCTAGGCCGACTGCTCCAATCTAGCTTGAACTGGCCATGATTCAAAGTTGTTCCAGCTGTTCAGTAGTGATCCATGTGAAACGGAGCTAGGGGGTGCCCAGGGACAGGGGTTTTCATTATAAAAATAACCCCCCAACCGCTATTCCACCCTGGCTGGCAGCCTCAAGTTAGTATTACATTGTCCTGTGCTGAAAACTGACCCATCCCCCCATCTTTACATATGTTGGGGGTGTGTGCGAATGACGTCTTTTGCAAGCTTATTTGCCAGGTTTTCATTGGTAAAAAGTTTGGACAATTATTTATTGTATTTTGCCCCTGTGAGGAACTGATCCCCTTTCCATGATAGAACGGGGCCTACAGTCTATACATGCCAAACATGACAACACAACTCTCTTTAAACCCAGTTATCTAGGCAGTTATACCTCTGGGCCCCTAAAGCTCCTAGAAAGCTAATAGTAAATTGACTTGCACAGTTGAATTCACACATGCATGCTACTTTCTCCTGCCACTTTTCACAGCAATGTGCTGTCTAACAGGTCTGTATGAACACTAGATTAACCGATGAAGGAGCTTCTCCTACCTGGAGTTAAACAAGGCTGTAATCCGTTTTCCAGCCAAACAGAAAGAAATTCCTTTCTGCTTCTGATTGCAGGCTCTTCATGCCAAACTTGGTGCCTCCCAAGATCCCGGGTGGGGAGAAAGTGGACTTTGATGTGAGTATTGGGTGCCCAGCAGACTGTGGGCCTGCGCTGTGGGGAAGCCGTGGGCTTCAGTAACCAGGGCTGTCAGGCTGGCACTAAATTCACTCATGCAAGAATCCCCTAGTCCTTCCAGGCATGTACCCAGTATGCCCAGACAGTGCCCAGGCTGCCAGCCCTTCTTGGTATGTACCCAATCCCATATCTGCCAGTCCCTCTGAGTATGTACCCAGCGGACCGGGTACCATGTCTGCCAGCCCCTGCTCTCCTCTTTAGATTGCCCCTGGCTCCCACAGCACCCTGGTGGCTATTGATCTGGGAGGGCAGTAGCAATGGCTGGTTCAGTGCCATGTTCCATGCAGGACATTCACCGCAAGCGCATGGAAAAGGATCTGAACGAGCTACAGGGCCTGATCGATGCCCATTTCGAGAACAGGAAGAAGGAGGAAGAGGAGCTGATCTCCCTCAAGGACCGAATCGTACGTCTGGATGCCCCAGATCGTCCCATTACTCCCCCTCCCCCCAGTCCCCAAGTTAAGGGCCATATTCTGTCCCTGATGAAGACATGGGGGAGCAGGGTCAAGCCCTAGAAAAGCAAGATGCTGACTATGGGGAGAGAGGGGACCCAGGTCCGATCCAGACTGAGGAGCATGGATCCAGGGCTTGGAAAGTGCCATCTTTCATTATTTGATGCCAGTTAGTGTGGTGTCCCGCCACCCATCACCCCAGTGCCCAGCCATGTCTGGAGGAAGCTGAGGTCATGTGACAGGGAAATGGGCACTCCTTGCCATACCAACAGAGCAAATGCTTCCCGTGGGGCTGGGCCCCTAGTCATTTGGGATCCAGAGAGAGCTCTCCCTGGGTCCCTCATGTGGGGGCGGGGGTCATCCCCTGGCCTCGAAGTCCAAGCCTTGCTCTTCCCCTGCAGGAGCATCGGCGAGCGGAGCGGGCAGAGCAGCAACGGATCCGCAGCGAGCGGGAGAAGGAGCGCCAGGCCCGCGTGGCTGTGAGTGTCCCACCTCCCAGAGCAGGGGAGGGCTGACACAACCCCCAGCGATGGAGCCGAGTCTAGGCTTCTCCCCAGTCAACTAGCTGGGAGCAGCTGCTGTTACCCCTTGTACTGCAGGGACCTTCCTTCTAGCTGTGAGGGACTCCCCTTTATTGCAGCTTCTAGATCAGCCAGCGGGGACACTCCAGACCCACCCGGGGCCGAGACTCCTAAGCTCTCCTTGGCTCAGGGAGCTGGTGGCCACATATTCCAACATGGCCCCTTGACTGAGCCGCAGCCTTGGGCTGGGCTGCTCACAGCTCTCCCAGGCGATACAGGGCTGGGCTGGGTTAGCGCTCTGCTGGGGAGAGCTTGAATGAGCCTCCAGGCAACCAAGTAAGTGGTGTTTGCTTCAGCACAGGGCGCTCTTCCTCCCAAGCCAGCGCCCAGCTCCAGAGGGTGCTGGGCTGATGATGGGCCTCAGACAGGGGCCTGCACTACTTGCAGTGCCGTTAAGTGATTGTGTTAATGTGGTGACAAAGCCTGTTGTTCCGGTTGATGTCCAGTGACCGCCTCTCTGAGCCCCGCTTGCCCTTCTACTTGGGGGAGTTATTCATGGCAAAGTCCATGGGAACGTAAGCAGCTCTCATGGCATGTGACTCTGCAGCCCTTGGTCTGGTCTGTAGCTGTATGTTCCCAGCAGCTCTCTGCTGAGTCTGTCTCTCCAGCAGCAGTGAGTTCCCCTGGCTTCCCTCGAGACCCCTCTTGCTCTACCCCTGACAGGAAGAGAGAGCCCGCAGAGAGGAAGAGGAGGCCAGGAAGAAGGCTGAAGAGGATGCCAGGAAGAAGAAGGCTTTCTCCAACATGCTGCACTTTGGGGGCTACCTGCAGAAGGTACAATTCCAGCTTGGGAACTAGTCATGGTGGTGGTAGCCAGAGTCCCCATCCCACAGTTAAAGGGGCCAGCTGTAGGGGAGCATGCTGGGAAAATTCCCATGAAAGTGGAGCGTTAAGGGGGTGAGGGAGAAGGAGCCTGAGCCGAGGGCAGAGGCTGTGGGGAAGGGGCCGTGGTGCAGTTCCACTGTTCTATCCTCCTTTGGTTTTACGAGGACATTGTGCTCAGATCAGAAAACTCCCGGGCCCGATTCTCCTGCTTCAGGACTACAGTGAGTCTCACTGAAGCTTCCTGCATCCTTTGGCGATGTTATTTCACGTGAGATAAGGTCATCGCCAGAGCATCAAACTTCACCCACTCTCCCTACTCACTAGACAGAACCATGGCAGTCACCTAGGGCAGCCTTCTTGTTCCCTTCTCCGTGCAGGGCACTCAGCCCTCAGGACTCTGCCGTGCGGACTTTACTGGCACGACAGGCTGCTTGTCTTCCAGGCTGTGTGTTCGGTGGCTGGTAGTTTTGGTGCTGCCCAAGCCCTTCTGGGGAGACGTACCATTTTTGGTAGTATTACAGTGCCACCTAGAGGCCCAGCTGAGATCAGCCCCCCTTGTTCCAGGTGCTGCGCACACACAGTGAGGGCAGGTCTTCACTACAGGGGGGGGTGTCAATTTAAGATACGCAAATTCAGCTACGCGAATAGCGTAGCTGAATTTGACGTATCGGAGCCAACTTACCCCGCTGTGAGGACAGCGGCAAAATCGACCTCCGCGGCTCCCCGTCGACGGCGCTTACTCCTACCTCCGCTGATGGAGTAAGCGGATCGATTGTCGCGTCCCAATGAGACGCAATAATTCGATCCCCGAGAGATCGATTTCTACCTGCTGATTCAGGCGGATAGTGTAGACCTAGCCTGAGAGAGTCCCTGCCCTAAAGAGCTCACAAGCTAACTAGATAAGACAAAGGTTGGGAAAGGGAAACTGAGTCACAGAGCCGGCAAGTGACTTGCCTGAATAACCCAGCAGATCAGTGGCAGAGCTGGGACTAGAACCCGGGTCTGCTGAGTCTCAGCTTAGTGCCCCCTCCACTGGACTAGCCTCATGGCAAGTGGGGATCTTGAAAAGGCTGGCTGGGGTGGGCATCTTGCTCAGCTCAGCTGGGCTTCCCCTTTGGAACCTCCCTATGCCATTGGGCTGTAGGGATTCACTCCAGCTCAGTGTGGGGGGAAGGTGGGGTAGAGCTGGGGCACGGGGGGGAGGGGGTATTAAATTCCCTCTGACTCGGGCCTGCTGATGTCTTCAGACAGAGAAGAAAAGCGGGAAGAAGCAAACAGAGCGGGAGAAGAAGAAGAAGATTCTCAGCGAGCGGCGGAAGCCTCTGAATATCGACCACCTGAATGAAGACAAGTTGAGGTGAGGGTAAGGGAGGGACCAGGGCAGTAACCCCCCCCAAAAAACCTATCAGGCTGGAGGAGAGCCCACGGGCATGTTCCTGAGTCCTGGAACCCTTTGCATCACTAACCCATAAGGGCAGCAAATCAA